TTTAAATTTTTCCTTCAAGGTCTCAGCTGCTTGATGCACAGTGGAGTCCAAGCGCGTGGGGTCGTAAGTAGTTTCAAAATAATTATGGAAAGCTTTAATCTCTTTGGCATGAGTAAACATACCTTTCTTTGTTGGTACCTGCACATCGAAGGCATCAATTAGTTTCTGTCGAATTGTAAGTGTATCGAACATATAAGTTTGATAAAACTTAATCCACCACTCCAGAAATCCTTTAGCCGCGAGATGGGTAGGTTCGAAGGTTATCAGCTCAAATTGGGCAAAGCCTTGATATTGTTCTTGCTGTATTTTGGCTTCCCTTGCCTTGAAAGTTCGTCCAGAAGTGATGGCACTCTCAGTTTGGAACAAAGGTTCAGGAATCAGTTGGCATAAGCCAAACTGCCTCGAAACGAAGTTTGGTTGGTAGGCAAAGAGAAAAATTTGGTTCTTGGCTGGGGTTATCCTTGAAGAAATGAGTCTAGGCAGCAAGAAAGCTCTCCATACATCCTGAATCTCCTTACTCTTGATAGCTTCCGAGAGAGACATGGTGAACCAAGAAGGTCCATGAGCCCTCAAAGCAAAAGGCGCCATGCTCTCTTCGAACTTGTGCCTTTTGGAGAATATCATGATGTACTTCGAGAATTGAACTTTGAAGTCATCTTTGTCATCATTAGGAGTTAATCTTCGAAGCCTAGTGCCTTCGACTATCCTATCACTTATCTCAGAATCTTGCTCATCAATGGTATTGGCGGTTGATAAGGAAGGTTCGAACATGGCATTTAGCCATAGTTGGAGTAACCAAAATGGGCCAGCCAATATAATGTTTTTGGAGGTGTGGGATTTGAGGCTCGAAACAGCTGACCTCAGGCTTTCATAGAGGTCAACTAAGAGTAGTTCACTTAGGCACACTTTTCGATTTTCATGTAAATCCCTAGCTAGAGGAATGAACCTACTAGCTACCTGTAGGGATCTACTGCAGAAAACGTATCTTGACAGCCACAGGGTTAAGAAAGCAATGTGCTCTACGTCAGACACATTGTCCCCTTCAGCATGATAATGACTGATAAATTTGGAAAAAATGGCTAGCTTGACTTCGAAGTCAATTATGCTTGAGTGCTCTTCGTTGTCGGGTATATAAGTTTCTCCCACTGGCGACAGCCCAGTAATGGCCGCTATGTCGAAGAAGGTTGGGGTGATCATTCCACCTGGGAGATGGAAAGTGTTATAGGTACTGTCCCAGAAATAAAGGGGCGCGAATAGCAGAGGGTGGCTGTAGGTGAAACCAGGTTTCGATAACTTAATCAGGTTATAAATGCCTAATTCTTCCCATTGCTGGGATTTCTTGGCTTCTACTTTCGTGAACCAATTTTCGTAAGCAATATCAGAAGTAGGGCAAGATCGAAATGGCTTAAAATTACTTTTTACATAATCCAAAACAAAGGGGTCCTTGGGAGGAACAGTTCGAGTTTCTATGGTATTTGAACTAGGAGATTCTACTGCCCTAGGGGCGTCCATTTTGTTAAATAAGGGTTTGAAGCTATAACAGACGGGAAAAATTATCCTGGTGTCCTTCAATATTTCAAAAACCGTAAGAGGGCCATTTAAAGCTAACCTCTTACCAACAACGTGGGTAGGAATGAGTACCTGTGACGCATACAACATTTCTTTTTCTTTGGAAATCATCTGAGGGGCAAGAGCAGATTGGCCTTGGATGGTGATGATTTTACTTTCCATGGTAGCTCCTGTAGTTTTTCCTTTCTTCTTGGAGACTTTCTTGAGTTGGGATGAAGTAGAAGAAGACATTTTGAAAGATGTTTGAAAGCTTAGATTGTTTTATGAGAGAAGGAGGGTAAAAGATTCAGAGTGTGAAAGATTTAGAGTGTGAAAAGAAAAGAAGAAGATTAAGTTGATGTTTTATAATGGGGAAGTTTAAGCATCCACCGAATAGAGGTGTGATACGTGGAGATCATGGGTTGGTGTGATGAAGAGGTGGCGTGAAGTTAACATAGGTAATAGGCGTGATTTAGAGATAATCATTACTTATAACTGCACCACGCTGTGAAGTGGCTCCGGGCGGTTAAGGAATCCAAAAGGTGCTATGATTGATATGACTGGAGTCAAATGCATTAAATGTTACGGTGATTCGAAAGTCCTATCAAAATCTTGTGTAGGTGTTTAAAATAGGTATTTCTCATAAGAATCGAAATACATATTTTAAAAGGGCAATTTGTTGGCTGAAGATTTTGATAATATTATTTAGAAGCCAAATGAGTTAAACGTTTTTGATCGAAATGGAATTAAACGTCATATTTCGAAGTAGCAAAAGCAGTGTTTCGAATAAGTGTGTCAAAGCTTGGAGCTTCGAACGGCAATTATGAGAACATATCTAAAGGAGTTTCGAAACAACAGTGAGGCTGTGTCTGGGAAGAGCGTTCGAAACGGAGAAACACCAAAGCATTTAAAATTCAAATGGAAGCGGGACTTTCAAAGTTTGAAAGTTATGTGTTGGAGCATTTGGGGACACGTGGAAAGATGAAAGAAGCATTGTCCTGCATGTTTGAAACGTGGCATAATCCTATAGCAAGACCGTTATGGTCGAATTAGTATAAATAGAAGTCTTAGTATTAGGATTTCGTGTGTCATATCTATTATACAAAATACTCAATAACATTCAAACTACCACATGGCAAGGGAAACGAATGCAAGAGAAATGTATGTATGATAGCACCATGTATTTCTGATTTAATGAAAACCTTTTACCATTTCCAGTACTTCCCTTTATTCCTTTTGTCAAACAACATTTATGAGTTTTCTTATTTACAGTTTTTTCACTTCGAAATCTCTTCTTCAAAGTTTTAGATTTTAATGTTTTCTTTATATTTCGAGCACTTTATATTTCAGAAAACTGTCATATTTTCCATACATTTACCTTCAAGTCTTATCCTTCGAACGCATATGTTTACTTAAAATCATTTACAGATTTCTTGCATTAAACGCTTTCTTCACATTTCAAACTTTTACGTTCCAGAAATCCTTTATGGTAACCGTTTTGTAAGTCGAAACCATTTACTTCATTTTTATGCAGTTTTACATGTCTTTACAATTAGCATTTATTCGTGTAACTTAGTTTTTACACACATTTTGATTACATCTTTAGACTTTTAGAGAGAGATCGAAATAAGCCAAACTCCTATACAATATCAACCATGAATATCTGTTCGATTGTGAGAGTAACCTTAATATCCAAGGAGTCCTAGGATCAATCTAGTCGATCCTGTGAGTTACCAGAGGAATTGAATAACAGTAAGAAAGATTATTCGATAGTTTGGAAGACTAGCGATTGTTTACCAGAAATCACTGGAAACAGTGGGCCACAGCTTCTATGGCGAGGGCCACAGGTCCAAAACTGGTTTTTTCGGCTCTTTTCTCCCATTCTTCTTAGTATCTTGGCAGTTTCTTACTCTTTTTCGCATGGAAGCTCTTCGTTAGCATGTGGCTGAAATGAAATAAAAATACCGGCATAAAATGACATGAATAAATGAAAACAATATTAGAATTCATATGAGTCGAGTCGCATATACAATATTTTTCGCGTTATTATTAGGCCGATGTCTTCCTATCTTTTTATGAATCTCACCAACACTAATTTTTCTTAGTTGTTGTAAGTAGTGTATAGAGATTTTTCGTTATACATGTATTCGGTTTTATCATTATAGGTTCAAATATCTATAGGTTCAAATATATATAGGTTTTTTTGATATAGAGGTTTTCTGTAACCTAAATATCATTATAGATTTTTTAAACAATGTACGATTTTGTTTTCAAATATGTATATGTTCTTTTGATGTAACATTTCATATATGTATATATTTGGTTATGTAAACAATGTAATTTTATAGTATGTGTATATTTAGTTATGTTCTGAATAAAAGAAAATGTTCTAATTCTGCCACAAAATTTATAATTAATGTGAAAAAATTACAGGCTAGTAAAATTAAAATTTAAAACAAATTATAAATGACAAAAAATAAGTTATACTCTTTAGTTATTATATCAAACCGGCGTAAATACTTTCTTTTTTTCCTTGGATATTAACAAAAACTAAGAGGTATGTAATGTGCGATTTATAATTTTGAAAATAAAAATATATTGTTGGTGGAGATCGAACCAATAATTATTACGACTTTTTCCTCGATGAAACAAAAATAGAAGGATAATCTAGCAAGTTTTTAAGACCTTTGTTACCTCACATATGAAATCAAGATAAATTCTTTTTCGAATTGTGATAAAATATATATTTTTGTAATAGTGTTATTAACAAAAAAAATTACTGGGGTTGAATTTCGAAACATATTACTGTTAACTTATCACAACAGTTGTCAATTGAGACTTTAGTTATATATAAAATTTTAAAAAATAAAAAATAAAAGGTGTTTATTAAATATATATTACCTTAGTTGATTATGTGGCTCCAATAAAAAAAATAGTAATGGAATGTGTTTTTTTTAATAGTAAGATTTTTTTAAAGGCTAATTTTCTATATGAAAAGGAGAGGCATTAAATACCAAGTGGGTACATCAAGAAAACGGAAACCTACACAAGAGATATCTCGCCACCAATAAAAACAAACCAGACATACAGTGTAGAATAAGAATACAAAACAAAATACATTGATGCTTCAGACCACCATATGAACTAAAATGTTTAACAACCTTGAACAAGAGAACTGAGATGTTCCAAACAACATCAAGAATAGCCACAGAACAAACTCTAGAATCACATAAGTATAATTTCTGTTTCCCTTATTGTTAAAATTTATATTCTTCATTTTCATCTGCTCATTTATTTTACTAGGCTTATTGCCCATGCATTGATTGCACACACTCCATATCTTTTACCAGTGTTCCTTTTGATATACATATAACCATTCACTCCCCAATCACGCCCATATGAATTTTTTACTATCCAATAATCTTGACCGTTTACAGAATTATAACCAACTATTAACATGCAGTGAGTAATACGTGTAGAATCCACCGGGCAATCACGACCTTCAAATATTTCCTGCCAATGGATACATGTTCTTCGTTAACAAATGTAAAAATACTCGAAAACAACCGTTATAGTGAATGGACGTTGTAAAAAAAATAGGTAAAAACAATTGGAACCCTATTTTAATAAATTAGATACATTAAATAAAGACTTACATTGGTGTAATGTTGAAATTCTTGTACGGCTGCATAAATACATATACCAATTGGCTGCTTAGCAACTGCACACAGTAATCCATTTTCTGATACCTCCACATGATTATATGTATTAATGGAACTAGTTGGACTGTTTGCAATCTACAATTCATAAACAAATTATATGGTAAAATAAAATTAATACGAGAAGTTGATTTATGAAAGCTATATAATAATATTGATAGAAATAAAGAACCTGTGAGCAAGCACCCTTCACGGCTGTATAAGGATAATTACTCGCCGTTGCAAGCCCTCTGTTTTTTATAACCCAATTGTATGCGTCATACAAATATCCACCATTACAACCTAAACTCACAGGGTCACAATCCACAAGCTCCTGCGCTGAAAGGTCGATGAGCTTCCCTGTCACTATTGCAACTATTCCTTCAATGGCACCTACTGCTGTGAATGCCCAACAACTACCACAAGTCTTTTGATTCTTAACACAAGTAACAACTCCTTTTGACCTCCAATCCAAGGATGAAGGTGGATTAGTACATGTTAAATCATGAATATCATCTTTCACAATATTCATGTTATCAGTGTTCATGGTCATGTATGTTTCATTGAACTCCACATAGCTCCAATCCGCAAAGTTGGTCAGACCAAGAATAGAGCTATGAGTTGATTTTCTCTTTGCATTAGTCTCCTACGATATACTTCAAATTTGTAACAAAAGTTTCAAATTTCTTTGCCATCTCTTCTAGATCATTGTATACTCGTCCCTGATGTTTCTTCCATTGTTGGAATAGTTTTAAAACTTCATCTTCATTAGGAAGTTTATCAAGTTTAAGACCTGATAGAGAGGAATAGTTATTGGTCGGGATCCCACAATCTGAAGGTTTTCTCTTTTCGAATGGCAAAGAATAAACATATGCATGCGGTGATGATAATGAATATGAGAATTCGGTTTGAAGTGTAGGAAAGATTCATCTTTTATTAGAAGGAGAGTGGAGATAAAACTTTATATGGCAAAGATGTGTATTCTTTAAAAGTCAGAGCCACATATTTATAGAATATAACTTGAGATGTCAAGCTCTACTTCTAAGTTATATCTTTTTTAATCATGATATGAAGTCAATGGTAGCCAATTTATTGATCACATATAAAAAACGAAAGAAAAAAAAAACGATAAAACTAGAACAAATTTATGAATTTGTCTAACAAGAAACTTTATAGAAAAAGAGCCTAAGACTCCCTCTTACCATTTTTTTGTAAATAATAATAATAATAATAATAATAATAATAATAATAATAATAATAAAAATAATAATATAATAATAATAATAATAATAATAATAATAATAATAATAATAATAATATAATAATAATAATAATAATAAAATAATAATAATAATAATAATAATAATAATAATAATAATAATAATAATAATAATAATAATAATTAATAATAATAATAATATTAATAATAATAATAATAATAATAATAATAATAATAATAATAATAATAATATAATAATAATAATAATAATATAATAATAATAATAATAATAATAATAATAATAAAATATAATAATAATATAATAATAATAATTAATAATAATAATAATAATAACTAATAATAATAATAATAATATAATAATAATAATAAAATAATAATAATAATAATAATAATAATAATAATAATAATAATAATAATAATAATAATAATAATAATAATAATACATAATAATAATAATAATAATAATAATAATAATAATAATCAATAATAATAATAATAATAATAATAATATATAATAATAATTAATAATAATATTAATAATAATAATAATAATATAATAATAATAATAATATAATAATAATAATAATAATAATAATAATAATAATAATAATAATAATAATAATAATAATAATAATAATAATATAATAATAATAATAATAATAATAATAATAATAATAATAATAATATAATATAATAATAATAATAATAATAATAATAATAATAATAATAATAATAATAATAATAATAATAATAATAATAATACTTAATAAAATAATAATAATAATAATAATAATAATAATAATAATAATAATAATAATAATAATAATAATAATAATAATAATAATAATAATAAAAGATACAAGATTAATATTTTATTGGGATTAATGAGGATTTTCTTACATAGGAAAATGTTTTTTTGTTTAATTAGCCAAAAATATAGATGTGTCGTGGGTCTCTTCTTTCTAAGCTTATTTTATTATTTGATTGAATGCATAGTCTCTTTTTCTAATCATATAATACATAGTCTTACTTTATTGTGTTCAATCGGATATCTTAATATATTCCAAATCAAAATGTCAATGGATCTCATTATATTACAAATGTTTATAGCAATACAATAGAACGTGCCTTTCACGATGAACAGTGCTACATAATTGGTTGGTGTTGTTAATCATGAAATTATTGTAAGGTTTAAAGATGTGGTTAATTTTTAAAATAATTAGACTTATGCGTTCGCAATATCTTATAAATAGTAAATGTATATAATAAGTAATATAGTTGGTTGAAAATATACATATTGTTGAAGTTCTAGCTTAATATAGTAAATAAAGAAGGAGTCCAAAACTATATATAGAATTTTTGAAGTTACACATTGCTTAGTTTTGTGATGGAAGAGGGGGTTCAAGGCTATATATATATAATACAAATTCTTCGTTACAAAATGCTTCAGTCAAAAATACTTTAATTGAGAGTTTGAGTGTATTGGAGCTTGGATTAATTGAGGGTTTGGTTAATTTAGGGTATATTATGTATTGTAACAATTTTTATATAATATTATTCTCTGATCGTCTATTAAGAACCGTCGAAAATCTGAAATCAAAATAAGAATCTACGTGGTGATATAATTATAGCAATTGAAATAAAAAAAAGATTATTAATTGTAAAGCAATAAGAATATATATATATATATATATATATATATATATATATATATATATATATATATATATATATATATATATATATATATATATATATATATATATATATATATATATATATATATATATATATATATATATATATATATATATATATATATATATATATATATATATATATATATATATATATATATATATATATATATATGAAGGGGTGTAAGAAAGATAGAAAAAGAATATCAATGATATATAATTCTATTTTTTCCCGGTTTTGGAGTTTCGAAGAAGAATTTTTTTTACTTGTGGAAAGTTCAAGTCAAAGATGTGTTGATACAATCAAGATTACACAGATTATGTCGGTGTTTGAAGAGCTTTCTGCAAACAAGAAAGTTACACCATGAGGTTTCAACCTAATTTTTAACATGTGAAATTCTTAGAGTGGTTTAGCTTCAAGTGAAATTTATCATCATGATAAAGTATATGATTGTCGGTGATGACAATGTTAAATTCTTGAAGTGATTTATCTTCAAGCGAAAAATTTTCTTCTTGAGAGAGTATGATATTTTTTAAAATTGTGATTGTCGGTGAAGATGAGTGGTGTAGTTTCAAGTGACTATACTATTGATGGTGAATTATGATTGTCTGTGAAGATAACGAAAATTGATGTATTATTTTCAATCAAAGTGGAGATTGTTGAGATTGGTTGAAAATATACATGTTGATACTCTTTATGGTGGAGTATGATTGTTGGTGAAGATAATGAAAGCTTATGTATTATTTTCAATCAAGATGGAGATTGTTGGGGTTGGTTGAAAATATACATGTTAATAAAGAGGGAGTCCAAAGCTATATATAAGTTCTTTCATGTCTCATGTAACACCCTGATTTTCTTTATTAGTTATTTTATTAATTATTTTATATGATAATTATTATTTGACTTGATAATTATTTTATTATTTGATTTTGGTAGATTATGTGAATATAATTAATTAATTGAAATATATGTTATATGTGTATTAGATTAGTAAGTGTCAGAATATCATTATTAAGTATCGGACCTTAAGTGTCACATTAGAATGAGTGGATGAGTTATGCCCATTAGTGAAATATAGTTAGTATGAAGAGAAAATAGAATTAGAAAGCGAATTATCAAAACAAGAGAAGGTAAGAGAAAAGGAAAAGAGAAGAGAATGGAGAAAAGAGAAGAGAAGAAGAATGAACATAGAAAGTGTGTAATATGGTGGGAGAACTGACTTGGTTTTGTGTTTTATCGCAAATGTTACAGATAGCGAGAGTCGCCACCCGACTTATCTTTTATCCAATAAGGAAATGGTGAAAACAACAGAAAAGACCTTTAAGATTTCACAATTCGAGAGTAGGTTTTGAAAAGGGAAAGTTTAGCACCATTTTCATCTGTAGTTTTCTACGGGCTCTTAATCGCTAGCTCACTTTAAAAATTCTTTGTGTGTTTGAAAATGTCAATAGCCAGGTGTAGCGGTGGAAATATTGAGACTAAGCCATTGGATTGACTTGACTCGCACAGATCAAACAAAAATTGCTACCGCGCTTTATTGTTTCCAAAGGAATGGAAAAATAGAGAATAACCCAAAAAGAAGGGGAGAGAATCTAAGTTTGGGGGTTGGTTATGCAAAGAGAAAGTATTAGCATCCTAAACAACTATGGTACTCTGCAGGAACCTCTTTGAAAATCTGTGTATTTTGGCTATAAAAGTTGTATATAAATATACATTGTGGGGATGAGAAAAAGAATTTTTTTTAATAATTTTTGCATCCGTCGCAGTTGTGAATCTTTAATGCCTACGTACCACCTTCAGTGCAATAAGGGATTAGTCAACTCGTAGTTCACCTTTAAAATTTTTAAAACACAAGTGCGGTGGTTAATTTTAAGAGACAAGACATTACCGTCTTATCTGAGTGGAAGAACATACTTACTATCCATGATTATGAAAAATGAGAATTTGCATCATTTCAAATCGGAGGATATGGCTTGGATTTTAAAATCAACAAAGCTTCGCTCAACACCAAAGTGGAAAATATCTCACTTTACTATATATGGTAGAAATATAGTAGTTTGCATCATTACAAGGATTGACTAGAGTCTAATCTTTTGAGAAAAGTTTAACTAAAAATCCAAAATGGCAAAATGGTTTAAATGAGATTGATTGACTTTTGTCTTCTCACAAAAATGTGAAAATATGATTAAGTTGTTTAAAATTTGATTAAGAAAATATTTTTGAAAATGCATAGACCTAAGTCCAAGTTTATGGTGAAAGCGGTTCAAGTTTAAAAACAAGAAGAGTTTTCAAAAGGAGGGAGAAGATTTTTGAAATTAAAGAAGATGGGAGGAGATGAAGGAACTATCCTAAGGCATAAGGTAAAATCTAGGGAAAATAATCGTCTAACCAATAAGAAGTCAACACTTGACACAATGAGTCAATGTAGAATTCTCATCCTTTGGATTTGAAACCAAACAAGCAAAAATATTAAGCCTCTTACACTACAAAATAACTTGTGTTTTGCCACGTGAAAGCCACGTCGCTAACACCCAAATCACATCACTATTCAACTTTTGCCACCTTAAGAAACACATCGTTGTATAACGCATGACAATCTTGTTGCGGCGTGAAAAGCATGTCACAAAGTTGCCACGTGAAATTCACGCCGCAACAGACTTTATAGGATGAAAGTGTTCAGAGCAGAGCAGAGCAGACAGTTTATATTTATCTTTACGTTTGCTGTTGCGGCATGTTTTTCACGTCACTAATTAGTGACATGAAAAACACGCCGCAACTTGTTTTTAAAAAAAATTGTGTTTTAAATATATTAATTCTGTTATAATAATTAATATTATTTTTTGTTTTATTAAATTTATAAATTAAATATTATAATTTATTTATTAAATACAATATTATAAATCAAATTATCAAAAACAAAACTAAATATATCTAAATGTATAAATAAATATATTTAATATTATAAATTTAATAAACTCAAATTTAAATTTAT